TGTTCGCATTTGTGTTCCTCACGTGAGCCCCAAAGAATGAGGTGATTTGGTGAAATGCTATGCCCAAGATTACCATCCGAGTTGCCGTCGGGGAAGTGGCTCAAATAGCCTCGGCTATCACTTCCTTTTGACGGCCGTGATGGTCAAGTGGATTAAGGCGCCCTGTAGTTACCAGTTGCGTTGCTCCTGGGAGTATGGGTTCGAGTCACTTCTGGGGTGTGAGTTTTCATTCGCATATAGTCCTGGGGACCATTCAGGCTTGTTCGCATTTGTGTTCCTCACGTGTGCCCCAAAGAATGAGGTGATTTGGTGAAATGCTATGCCCAAGATTACCATCCGAGTTGCCGTCGGGGAAGTGGCTCAAATAGCCTCGGCTATCACTTCCTTTTGACGGCCGTGATGGTCAAGTGGATTAAGGCACCCTGTAGTTACCAGTTGCGTTGCTCCTGGGAGTATGGGTTCGAGTCACTTCTGGGGTGTGAGTTTTCATTCGCATATAGTCCTGGGGACCATTCAGGCTTGTTCGCATATATATGTATATATATATATATATATATATATATATATATTATATATATATATATATATATGTCGTACCTAGTAGCCAGAACGCACTTCTCAGCCTACTATGCAAGGCCCGATTTGCCTAATAAGCTAAGTTTTCATGAATTAATTGTTTTTCGACTACCTAACCTACCTAACCTAAATTTTTCAGCTACCTAACTTAACCTAACCTATAAAGATAGGTTAGGTAGGGTTGGTTAGATTCGGTCATATATCTACGTTAATTTTAACTCCAATAAAAAAAATGACCTCATACAAAATGAAATGGGTAGCTTTATCATTTCATGAGAAAAAAATTAGAGAAATATATTAATTCATGAAAACTTGGCTTATTAGGCAAATCGGGCCTTGCATAGTAGGCTGAGAGTGTGTTCTGGCTACTAGGTACGACATATATATATATATATATATATATATATATAATATATATATATATATATATATAAATATATATATATATATATATATATTATTAAATATGACACTTACCATCAACAGTGAAAAGAAATATAAGAAACATTGAGAAAATTCGTGTTAGAATTATTAATGTTACTTTTTCGGTCATATTTAATAATATGACCGAACGTTGCTGTGGCTCAGTCTGGTTAAATGGGAAAGAAAGAAAAGAGAAAGCGCAGGTTTCTAATGTTTACTTTCACAATGCTTGTGGGTATACAATATTGTTTGTTGTTCCATTGTCTGTGGAGATATAGAGATTGTCTGGTTTGCCGACTCCAGAACACTCAACATATAATTGTCCACGTGAGAATCAATCCGTATCTAGATATAAACTGCACAATTCTAAAGATTGGCCCTGAGCTTTGTTGATGGTGATTGCAAACGCCAATCGAATTGGAAATCACAATCTCTTAAATTGAAATGGCATATCTGTTGGAATCATAGGAATGTGAGGAATGAGAACATCTTCCCCTTTGAAAGGTCCTGTCAGATTGTTGCTTCTACGACGTCGCTGATTAATTTTTTTACTGCAAGGTGCGTGGCGTTGCAAAGTGTTGGCTGGTTGATATTTCACAACATGATAATTGGCAAATCGATTTTTAATTGACGTACGTGTGATGCTATCCCTGGCAGATCGAGTGAATTAAAATATTCTGTTGGATAATTAACCGCTTCATCTATCTGCTTCCTCAACAGTGTCGACGGACTTGTATGTGACTGCCTCGCTTTAAATGTTAGACTGAATAATATTGTTAAGGTCGTAGACGTTTTGTTCTTGGCCGCAAGAACAGCTCGTTCACTCAGCCAACCGTGATTCATATAATTGGTTTCAATATTGGGAAATACTTTTTTAACCAATTCTTCTTTTGACGTCACTAAATTGCAGAAGTTGTGAGGCAATGAAAGTCATCCTGAGGTCAGATCAACCGGCCCGTTTACGTTCCCAATTTCTAAAAATTGATGTGAGAATATCTCAACTGATGGATCGTTTTGCAGTAGCTACATAACTTTACGCATATTTGTAGTTAATTTAAATGTCTTAACGTGGCGCCACAAAGTAGAGTATTTCAGGCAAGCATTTATTTCGTCCGCTGGTGTCGATCGAGGAATTGCAGGTAATGTTTGCCTGAATCTCCTGCAAGCAAAATTAATGGGTTCCCAAATGGTCTGATGTATCCACGCAAATCTTGCAATGATCAATCAAGAGCCTCGAACGATTTTTTGTGGGGCTTGTGCATTCATCCCAAACAATAAGTTTGTATTTCTGCAATACTTTTCCCATGCCGGATGCATTGGAAATGTTGCATGTGGGAGTTTCAATGAATTGCATGTTCAATGGCGATTTCAAAGTCGAAGCAGCAGTTCTTCCACCTAGTAGCAATGTCGCAGCAATTCCGGACGATGCAAGAGCTAAGGTCATTTCATATTCTGCGATCCCATTTTGGGATCGAAATGCTACCAGAATCAATCTAATTAGGAAGGTTTTACCAGTTCCTCCTGGCGCATCTAAGAAGATTTCTCCAAGCCCATAGGAATGTGCCTCAATGCCAACAGTGACTGCCCAGATAGGTACAAGAGGAGTGTCGTTAACGCTTATGTCGACCGTGCTCTCAGCCACAGCTCAGGATGGAAGCAAGTCGATGAAGAACTCTGTAGGGTAAGGCAGGTCGTAGTCAACAACGGCTTCTCCAATGCTTTCGTTGAAGACATCATAAGAAGGAAGGTGAAACGCCATGCAACCTCTGAAGAGACAACTAACACAACACCTGTACCCCCTATTAGACTATTTTACAGGAACTTCTTTTCCACAGCTCATAAAACGGAGGAAACGGTCCTGAAAGATATTGTTAATAGAAACGTTATCCCTACAGACAAAAATCGGAAGATACAATTGACGATCTACTATAAAACCAAGAAAACGGCCAACCTACTCATGAGAAACTCTCCAGACACAAAGCAGAACGCTTTAAAAGAGACCAATGTCGTCTATGCCTTCAAATGCCCACTTGGGGACTGTAAGCCTCAAAGAATTCATTATATAGGCAAGACAACAACAACTCTTTCCAGGCGATTAACGCTGCATAAGTAACAGGGCTCCATTAAGGAACATATAATCTCTTCCCACAACCAGACCATCACCAGAGAAGTCTTAACAAAAACACGGAAATCATCGATAGATACAGTGATAGTAGGCGGCTTGATATCTGCAAGGCACTACACATTAAGAAGTCGACACCAGCAATCAACAGCCAATTAATGTACAACTATATTCTACCCACTTCAAGACTCCGCACCAATATAGAAGCATCAAGAAATATGAGCCAATAGGCCCTTTGCAGTTACTTCCATTCTTCCCTTTAACTTACAAAATATTATACCCATTGTTTCGTGTTCTGTCTTGTGTTGAAAATTCACCTCATCCAAAACTGTTGTAACATATCACCTCACCCAAATGCAGGTATAAAATCGAAGATGTTTAAACTCTGTTCAGTTATAGTTGTGTGTGTGTAAACTAAAGTCTTTGAAAATGTAATAAGTTTTACGAAACGCGTTCAAGTGTTGCGTCAGACTAGAAATAAAAATGAATTTTGGAGAATTGATTTTCAGTTACCATCAACAGTGAAAAGAATTATAAGAAACATAGAGAAAATTCGTGTTAGAATTATTAATCTTACTTTTTCGGTCATATATATATATATATATATATATATATATATATATATATATATATATATATATATATATATATATATATATATATATATATATATATATATATAATTATTTATATAATTTGCACAACGTTGTGCAAATTATATAAATAAGTGTAATACACTCTATAGTAAATCACTTCTTTTCTTCACCTTAAAAGTACGAAAATGAGTTTTGGAGAACTCCTATTTCAATTAAGCCCTGATGCTAAGAAAATAGTTAGAGGGATAGAAGCCCTAAACCAGAAAATAATGAATACAGAATATGCGGTCATATTCAATGAATATATATATATATATATATATATATATATATATATATATATATATATATATATATATATATATATATATATATATATATATATATATATATATATATATATATATATATATATATGTGTGTGTGTGTGTGTATATCACGAAAATAAACACGTGATTAAGAATGTGACAATGTCAGACCACGGAGGAAAAATGAAACAGGAAATTTCCTTAAGTTCTTTCGTATATTAAATACATCTTCAGAAGGTCATTTTACAGATCGAGTGATGGGTATAAATAGGCAGGAAGGAGTGGTGAAGTAAGGTGAGGTACAATACTTGGACAACGCAGACGGCCCATTGGCCCATCAGATGCACCCAATTGGCACATCCGATGTAGCCCAATGGCCCATCTGATACAGCAGACATACAAGCATAATATATAGGTAATTATAACATAAAGAAGTAAATATATACAATAAATTAGTGAGACAAATGTTTTTCAATGATTCTACTTAAATCGCCCTTTAGCTGATCTATTAGAAATGGATCTAAGTTATATAGACCACTGCTAATATTCAAATTACTTTCTTTGGTGATCTGTATCAAAGCAGATTCAATTATGTTTCTGTTATAGGTGCTTTTACAATTTGTAAAAGCATATAGTAAAATATAAATATATATATATATAGTATATAATAATATATATATATATATATATATATATATATATATATATATATATATATATATATATATATATATATATATATATATATATATATATAGATCCTCAAACTGATAGTCAATCTGAGATAAAATCTTCCTAGGAGCACCCCGGGTGTATCTGGTGGTAAATCCTTCATCCACAACACATAAATTACAAAACCATAACTTATCGCGGGAAACAAATTGGCAGATAAACTCTTTTTAAGCAGAATACATTTGTTGGTCGACTTAAAAATTATTGTTCCGAAGAAAAAGTTTATTCTGAACATATACAAACCTGTTGAGTTGTGATGGAATTGGAGCCGATGCTGAGAGGACCAAGTCAGGAACACAGCAGTTGATCTTGAGAGGACCCAGTCAGGAGTACAGCAGTTGATCTTGAGAGGACCAAGTCAGGAACACAGCAGTTGATCTTGAGAGGACCAAGTCAGGAGCACAGCAGTTGATCTTGAGAGGACCAAGTCAGGAACACAGCAGTTGATCTTGAGAGGACCAAGTCAGGAGCACCACTGATGGGTCGCTCCAGCTCATGGAAGGAAGAAGTGTTCGGGCACTGCCACAAACACTTGTGTCTCTTGACCTCATTCCTACTGCGCACGTCCACCTAACACACCTGTGCAAGGGTCCTCAAACACTTGTGTCTTTTGACCTCATTCCTACTGCGCACGTCCACCTAACACACCTGTGCAAGGGTCCTCAAACACTTGTGTCAAAAATACTTCTTACAACACACCAACATCAAAACCAAGAAAGCCTCACAGACCCATAGTGGGCACCAACCTCACCTATCTTTAGTGATCAGCCTATTTACTTTAGTCAATAATAATGCACACGAGCTAAAGTTTTTAGGTTCTTGTAGCTTTTCTTGTCAACCAACTGGTTAAGTTCCTTCAGTTGAGGAGCATATGCAGTCATATTTAATGAAACATTTATTTCTATATAAATAAAAATGGAAATGTTCGTTTGTGCATAACCGCTAATCTCCGAAAGTTCTTCACCGATTGCTTTGAAATTTTCACACAACGTTCCATTCGCATCCGAGCAGGTTTTTGTATACATACTATATAGATGTCACGTCTGTGACGGTAAAAAAACATGCTTTTTCTGAGAAACTGTGTTTTTCATGTGAGGGAACTCTTTGAAACCTCTTCACTGATTGCTTTGAAATTTTGACACAACATTGCATTCAAATAGGCGCGTCTTTTAATATACCTACTTACTATATAGATGCCACCCCTGTGACAGGTAAAAACATGCGTTTTTGAAAAACAGTGCCAAACTAGTAACATGCACGCTATACTAAATTCCACGCTATACATGCACGCTATACACGAATTCCATTTCAATGCTTCCAATTGCATTGATAAATTTTATGTTAATAGATTTCAATTATTTTTTTTATTATTATTTTGTGACATTGTGTTGGAATTGAGCTGTGTTGTTTACCATACCATTCATTTCGTAAGTATAAGTATAGATGCCACACCTGTGACAGGTAAAACTATGTTTTTCTTGACAAACAGCGCCATCTGTTGCATGTAAGAGCAACACACATGCTTTACTAAATATGTTACAATTCCATTTCAATGTTTCTGATTGTATTGATAAATAGAATTTTCATAGATTTTGATTTATTTTAATTTTGATTTAATTATTTTGTGTGAATTGTGTTGGAATTGAGCTGTGTTGTTTACCATACCATTTATTTTGTGAGTATACTTTATTTTTGTATTTTTTCATATTTTCAATTCATTTTTAATTGGTTTTCTTATATTTCAGTGATGGGAACATCAGATCACTTGATGTTCCCAATTTTCTGATGGGAACATCAGACCATTTGGGAAGGCATCAGACGAGGGAGAGGGGAATGGTGGGGATGACGAGGGGATGGAAGTGAGAGATGGTGGGGAGGACGAGGTTACAAGGGAGGAGGTAATGGTGGGGAAGGACGAGTTGACGGGGGAGTTTGGGATGGTGAGGACGAGGGGATGCGGGAATGGAGAATGGTGGGGAGGACAAAGGGACAGGGGAGTGGGGCATGGTGGGAAGGAAGAGGGGATGGTGGAGTGGGGAATGGTTGGGAGGCTGAGGAGACAGGACATATCCTTGACTAGATATGGACTCCATGCTGGGGCTGCATACTCCAGGATTGGCCTCACATTTGTGGTATACAAAGTTCTGAATGATTCCTTACACAAGTTTTTGAATGCCGTTCGTATGTTGGCCAGCCTGGCATTTGCCGCTGATGTTATCCTCTTGATATCGGTTGCAGGGGACAGATCTGGCGTGATGTCAACCCCAAGTCTTTTTCTCTCTCTGACTCATAAAGAATTTTGTCGGAAAATCCGACACCATTTAATAATATCATACAGATAATATTGCTGTGTTGTATAAACAAGTTACCCATAGAAAATGTAACTTGTAGTGGAATTCCCGTCTATAGAAAACGGGATATCATTACCACATACTATTATAAATTCACCACCTATTATAGTGGGAATTATTCTTAAATACATTAGTCTTTGGACTTTACCATCATAAAAACATCTCATATAAATTAACTTAATTATCAGAATTAAAATAGAGTAAATGTGTCCCTTCTATCACTTACTGTCATCTGGACAAAGTAAGCCAGGTGTCAGTTGTGAGGGAGTGGTCAGCCATTGTTGTTGTCACCTCCGAGACGCGTGGAGCAAATTTGGCTCCTATCATATCTGGACAATGTCGGCCAGTAGCGTCAGTAGTATGGAGTGTCAGCCATTGTTATTGTACTAAGACCACAGAGGCTCACGGGAGCAAATACGGCTCCTGTTAATTTTACTTGGACGAAGTGTTATGGAAACCAAAGGTGTACCATCATCAACACGCTGTCAACAAATACAAGTTAAGTGTTCTGCCGAAACCCATTTATCTATCATTTGTGGCCATTAATGTCATTAGATAGTGTGTGCCGGTTAGAATACGAGATCGCCTCATACTAAAGGTAATTTTAAGCCTAGGTCTTTATGGTTCCTTGTACAGTGTTTTCTCTGATATAGCTGTCATATATTAGGATTCTGGCTTCATAGCTAGCGCCCTTTTGACAGGTCAAGACGAGGAAGCATGCTTTGTGTGCCAGTTACTGGGTGATGGAAGCTACCTCAAAGAGGATAATTTGGTGTCTACATCCTGGTTATACCTGGTGGACTAAGGCCTGCTGTACAATAAGATAAGGAACCCTTCTTCTAATGTATGTAGTCTAATACTGTAGTTTGATTGGCTGCATATATATAAATTCAATATAAACCCCCCCCTAATGTGTAGAGGATCGATTTGTGAGATTATTGTAGAAATACAGTCCACTTATCATCATACCAATTGCTATCGAAGTATATAAATTAACGTAAATATAAATTCATATAAATTAAATAAATATAAATCTCACAGGTCGGTTCCCACAAATTTCATCTCCCAGATGATACCTAGTATCTGGCCTCCTGCTCCCTACGCCTATCTTCTTTACAAAACATTTGCTTGGGTTAAACTCTAACAACCATTCCTTCAACTTGTCTAGGTCTTCTTGCAGCCTCAAGCAGTCCTCCTCTGTCTTAATCCTTCTCATAATTTTGGCATCGTCAGCAAACATTGAGAGAAATGAATCTATACCCTCAGGGAGATCATTTACATATATCAGAAACAAGATAGGACCGAGTACAGAGCCCTGTGGGACTCCACTGGTGACTTCACGCCAATCCGAGGTCTCACCCCCTCACTGTAACTCTCTGCTTCCTATTGCTTAGGTATTCCCTTATCCACTGGAGCACCTTACCAGCTACACCAGCCTGTCTCTCCAGCTTATGTACCAGCCTCTTATGCAGTACTGTATCAAAGGCTTTCCGACAATCCAAGAAAATGCAGGCTGCCCAGTCTTCTCTTTCTTACTTAATCTTTGTCTCCTGGTCGTAGAATTCTATTAGGCCAGTCAGGCAAGATTTACCTCCCTGATTCCATGTTGGCGATTTGTCACGAAGTTCCTTCTCTCCAGATGTGTTACCAGGTTTTTTCTCACGATCTTCTCCATTACCTTGCATGGTATACAAGTCAAGCATACTGGCCTGTAGTTCAGTGCCTCTTGCCTGTCGTCCTTTTTGTATATTGGGACCACATTCGCCGTCTTCCATATTTCTGGTAGGTCTCCCGTCTCCAGTGACCTACGATACACTATGGAGAGTGGCAAGTAAAGTGCCTCTGCACATTCTTTCAGTACCCATGGTGAGATGCCGTCTAAGAACATAAGAACAAAGGCAACTGCAGAAGGCCTATTGGCCCATACGAGGCAGCTCCTATTTATAATCGGCCAGCCTGTCGATTCTATATAATCGTTCAGACTGGATTAATGCCATAGAGTACCATAAAATTATAATCATTAGAGGTAGGCAGCCCAGGTGCAGGGATGTCAGTGGGGGGCCCTGAGGTCTGTGTAGTTAGTTACATTTACTTGATGATATAATTTTCATTAATTATGTGAATGCCATTTCTATATGTTCATTTGCATGTTTATGTACTGTGTTGTGTGGTAAGTCAGTAGATGTGATGGCTGACTGACTGCCTAATGATGTCATTAGCATGTGGGGTATGCTGATGGCATCATTATGTTGCAGGTTTGTGCAGTATTGTTGTCAGTGTATACGATATTATTGCCCCAGGAACTGTGTTGAGGGTTTAAGGGACCTCTAGGATTATTCAGGGGAATTCACAGTGCTTAATGAGAGCAGGCAATTGATGGGTTAATTGCCTTGCTGAGGTAAGTGTGTGTTCACAGTAGTCCTTTGCAACGGGTGCAAGAAAAAGAGGGGGGCAGTAATATTAGTATACTTTTGTGTGTTGCACAACCGTGTGTCATTATTGTGTGGGCACAGTAATTAGCAAGTTGCAGTAGCCGCAACCATATGTGGGCAGTGCTTTTATGGTGTTGCATGCCATTGTAGTGTGACCTATGTAACGCTGGGGTTACTTTGTTTCTTTAAGTTGTGTTGAGGCCTTAAGGATTCAGTGAGTTAATTAAGTAAGGGGTAATTAACTGGATAAGGGGTGCACACTTAGTATTGTGGAGTGAGTGAGGGCTGTTAAGAGAGAACAACGTTGAGCTTGAGTGAGATACGTCTCGGGAGCAATTAATTGTCCGTGTGACAACTAATTGACCACTCTAGCTAATTATGTAATTAGCCTTCTCATCGTGAATTCACGTAGTGGGAGAGGATCTGTCAGTATTTGTGTTAACGTAATTTGCTCGAGACTAATTACCTTTCAGGGGTATAGCAATTAGTGGCTCAGGTTAATTAGTGGAGTAATTAACATTGGAGAGCTCCGATGACTCGGTAAAGCGACCTCATGGAGCTAGCATAAATCGTTGTATTAATCATATCCTGTCTGAGGACAGTGGATTAGTGGCACATCTTGTTAATTAGGGTAATTAACTCCTTTCCCGTGAATTCACAGTGTTTGATGAGACCTGCTTAGGCAGTGCGGAGTGAGACGTATTTATGGATGATTAA